ACTTGGGGAAGAAGAGAGATATTTTTTAAGAATTTAAAATCAAAATACTTAGAAATCAAAAATTTCTTTGTACCTTCTTCTTCAGCCGTGTACTTATTTTTCAATACTTCCCAGATTTCTTTCGCCGAAGTTGTATTGGTGTATAGATCATACAAACGATCCGACAATGCATTCAAGATGTGGCCACAGAAAATCAATTCATCTTCTTGGCGTTTTTGTCTCTCGGTCTTGATTGCTTCGGATTCTCCATACGTTGGTTCTGGCAAAGGCACCAAATTTGGATCAAGAATATAAAAAATCTTCAACGCTCTTAGGAGGAATTTCAACTTGTCTTGCCACCGCGTGAAGTTAGTCCCGTCAAAACGATCCAATCTAACCAGATCTTGATTCATAAGTTTGATGATTGCCATAGTTGTATCATTCTCCATCGCAATATATAGTTTGAGATTGTTGAAAAATAAGGGGTTGGAGAAGAAACAACAGCAAAATTATAGAAGCTAAATGAATAGAAATCACAAAATACGTCAAGAACGAATTTGAGGCTTGAACACGAGATCGTTGTCCTCAAACTATATTTGCACCTTCTCGGGATTGAATAAGATGCTTAAAGGTTTTGGCAAACGATTTGTAGGATTATATCAAACCTTGTAAATAATTTAACACCAAAGTACAAGTGCAATCCTCCAAAACTTTAAGAACACAAAGGAAGATCTTGAATATAAATGTAAATCAATAGTTTGATGTAATATGGAATGATATATGGATCTCAAGATGTTTTCAATGATTCTAATTATATTTGTATTGATCATTCATCACCTATTTATAGGTCTCAATCAATGCATCACGAAATGGTACCAAAACAAGATGAAAAGCGGCAACTTTTAGTCCAAAACGACTCCCAAGTTTCAAATTGAAAAATCAGTCAACGGCTATTTTTTAACACTTTGCGTATGCATAGTATAAACTGTGCATACGCATAATAAAAGCAAAATTTAATTCTGATTTTGTCAAAACACATCTCGCGTACGCACAAAATTAAACATGTGCGTACACATGGGCAAAAAATCAAATTTTGCATTTTTCAATTTTTTTTATTCAATCAATTCCACAATTGAGCCCAACAATTAGTCCATTATCTTTCCATTGATTTTGAACAAATATTCAACAAAAAGTTGGTTCTTGGGCTGGAAGATGGTCACGGGTGAGCTAACACAAGGTAAAAACCTTGCAAATGAACTGAAAACCCAACTTCAGAGCCAAATCCTGCAAGGCTTGTGGATTTTTGGTGAGAAAATACTTCCCTCTTATGACAATGCATTGCATTGCTCAACTGCTTGACACATACTGGGAGTGAAGCAAATGTATCTGCAGAATGCATGGGTACCTTCTAAAAATAGGAAGATGAGTATAATGGAGAACTAAAGGAGAAAATGATGGCATTCTAGAGACAGATAGGATGGGATTCCCAACAACAAAGAATAAAAGACCACGTCGCTTGATCCAAAAACAGAGTTGAGATGGATGGCATTTATTGTGATTGGACAATATGTGAGAAAGAAGGAAAGTCGACAGGTGTTTAACCACATTACCAGGGAAGCTAAGCACGGTTTGGGTATTTTTCAGTAAAAGAAAAAATGATATATAAATGAGTTGAAGAAATTATGTATGTGATATATGTAAAATGTTTAACTGAATCAATTTAATAAAGACAATATTGGAATGTGCTGCGGATGAGAATGGTAAATTTTGGATTGATATAGAATGGAATAGATATATAACTTATGTAGATGTAAATAACGGCTCCCTAAAACAATGATGGGAGGGAGATTCCTTGGAAACATAATAACAAGGATACCACATGAAAATGGAAAATTTTGTGCAAAAAAAGTAAAGACAATTATGAGAAAGATGGTGGCAGTAATCATTTGAATACTGCAAATTTTAGTGTGGAAGAAATTTAATTTTTATTATTATTATTATTATTTACTTTGAGAAGATGATAACTGGAAGTCATTAAATTTATATAATTATTGAAATAAAAAAATAATAATAATAATAACAACTAGTCTCATTCACTCTACACCACTACTTTACCCTAAAGTAACCCAAAAATAGATCTGAAGTCGATCAAAGCTCCACTTTAATTTATAATAGGAGAAAACAATGAAAAATAATATTTATTGCAATCGGATTACAACGAGAGCAAAACCATTCACTCATTTTGTGCAACATCAAACAATGTAAGTTGTAGTGAAGGTCACCCAACTTTTACCTCAACTGCAATTAGAAGTGCAATTAAAACACTGAACTTCAATTCAATAGCAATCGAAACACTGTAATTGATGGTGTGTCAATTACAAGAAACGAATTCCCCCATCTTTATCCCAGTCATCCAATTTTGACATTTTAGCCCTCAATTTATAAAAATATGTTTCATATTTTTTTCCAAATAAATTAAAACCCAAAAATGTATTCTTAAAATTGGGCCATTGGATGAAAAAGAAGAAAAAAAATTGTATGTGCATGCTTTAAAAATATGATGTCACTACCTTTATGGGGGAAGTGTAACATTTACACGGACCACAAGAGTTTGAAATATTTCTTCACCCAAAAAGAGTCGAGAATTGTGACAATTTACATCCAATCTGGGATCCAACCATTTTGGTTTATTCAACAGAGTGGGCTGCACAAGAAAAATAAAGCTAAAATTCTGTTCCACAATGTATCAAATATGCATGCATTAGTCTATGATTTCAACTTCTCAACCTGATCCCACAGCTCATTTTCACTTGGTTTCGACACGAATGCTGCATTGTGTTCCATTGATTGATGTATTTGCAGCAACTTATATCATAGAATTCGGTATGTTGAACTCATTCGTCGACGGAAATACGGATCAGAAATCATATTTCAGGCACAACCACGAAAGCAATGCACCAGAAACAAAAGAACTTAACGGATATAGCACATTTACTAGTGCCTACGATTATTCATCCCACAAATTCTATGTTCATATTCCAAATAACTCAAAAACAAGTTCATATTTAGTTATAGAGACATTCGTGTAAAATATATTGACAAAACCAGCAAAATTATTCAACATTGACCTGTGCAGTTGAAGCCTCCATCAGTCCATTGCGTATCTGCTCACCAATATCCCGGACATGACCTGGACCATGGGGTATGAAAACCGTTGTGTTCTTGGAACTATTTCCAAGATCTTTGATTGTGTCGAAATACTGGGTGATCATGATAAGATCCATCACCTCCTTAGCCGAGGTGCCTTCAACCTTGTGGGAGAAGTTCAAGATGTTCTCCCTCAAGCCATCTGTAATTGCCTGACGCTGTCTAGCGACCCCGACTCCACCAAGATATTTGGCTTCAGCATCAGCTTCTGCTTTCTTGACCTGGAGAATCTTATCTGCTTCACCCTTGTACACACTAGCAAGCTGCATCCTTTGAGCTATCATGCAGGGGAAAAAAGGCACCGATTGTTTGGGTTAGAAAAAATATCAGATGGTGTCAAGTTTGAGACATGGAAAAGAAGCAAGGAAAACTGAAAAATCTCTTCCTGGAGGTATCATGCTTTGGAAAAACAGATGATGTAGGGAGGAACTGCAAAAATAAATAAAATCAATACGTTGCAATATTAACAGGATAAACCAAATCACAAATCATACAGAACCCTTTAGGTAACCATCATTGTCCAAGAATTATTACCATTATCATACTAGAAAAAATTTGAATCGCCTCATAATAATTTAAAAAGATAACTTCAAACAATGATTCACTTGATCACCTTCACTTTCACCAGTTAACTATTGAAGTCCAACGATTGAGAAACATCAAACTTGCAAATGCAAATTGTTGAGTTCATTGTTGCTACCTTTCTAATAAGGGTGTCTCAACTGAGATTTTAATGAATTTTAAAATCTCAATAACTTGTAAATTTATAAAGATTTCATTGATAAAGGGATTTTAAAAGATTTTTGGATTTCAAGCTTAAAAATACACATAACAAACTTCTTTGAAATTTCACCATTTTAAATGAGGTTCTTATGGATTCTACGGAAATCTATTTAAATTCACGAAATTCACTAGAATTTATAACTTTTGAAATCCATTAAAATCTTGAGCACCCCCGTACATTTCTAATTTACAATCCTTTCCTATTCTAAACCCAAAAATCCTGTTTGTTTTATCATGAATTACATATTCTCAAACTGCTCAAGTACCAGACAGGAACAACCTATACACATAATTGGCTTTAAGGGAGCAATTCAAGCAACCTTACATTTCCGTTGAGAAATTCTGATTAATCCAGCACCTACATGGTTAGATAAACAATCCTGCAACACTTAGCAATCAACCTGCACAGTCTTACGCTTGACATTTAAAGATGCATTCTAACCAAAAATTGAAAATAATACGTATAAAAAATAATAATAATAATAATAAATTGCTAGGGTCCTAACCTGCATTTATCTCATTCATTGCTCTGCGTACAGATGGGTCAGGAATGATGTCGACCATCAATATGTGCTCTATGTTATATCCATATGCTCCCATCACCTGACACATGAAGTCAACTTAAAATGGTTTTCAAATAGAACTTTTCAGTTCAGCCATCTGAAGATGCAAGATAAATGACATGCAGCATATCAACACCACTGAGAATAAGAATGACATCCACACACTGATCACAAATACGCAACAGGCACTGACATATTCTTCTTTTCTGGGAAGAGTCATCGTCTTGTTATCTACAGATTTTCCTTCCCCTTTGTTTAAATTATAAACTACTAAGCTTAGCAGTTCATATTTCCAACATGCATGAAAATATAATTCTCGACCATGCAGATGATCATATTTTTCGTCTTCTGGTTGAAAAATAGAGTTTACGGTTAGAACTTGAAATCAATTCCATGTTCGCTATTTTAATATAAAAATCTGAAATCAAGAGGAAAAAAAGAAACAAAAGCATGCAATCAAGGTAAAATTTACAAAACGAAAACTTGAAACTATAGAATCGTGGATTGCAGGGGTCCTTACCAACATAAGATCTAAACTACTAGGTGAATGGAACAATTTAGTTTGTCCAATGCTTGCTCTTTTCCTCTTCTGTATGTTGATATATAACACTTACGCAGATCTTCTCCAATGACAAAATTTTTACCATGAATTTCTACTGCAGGAAACCTTGACTCTGGCGATTAGACCAACAAAGAGCTTATTGAAAATTGGACTAGGAAAGGAGGCAATTATTTCTCTTTTCTTCCTTTTCCATTTTTAGAGAAAGCGGCATTAGATGTAATCATGGGTTATCTATTTGTTTAGCACCTTCCTAGTTTCACCGTTAGTCAATATGATGATAAGCAACACATAATCATCATATTAATAAACACATGTCAAGACCCACTTATAAGAGTTTCTAGTGATGATGCTAAAATAAAAAGCCTCTCTCACACCTGTAGTATTGACAATTAACACCACGAATAAGACAATCCAAATTACTTTCGACAAATAATTTGTAGACAGAAACTATTCTATATCCATCTGAACAGCATAAACTTACCTTCTCAAGTTCCTCTAAGACAGCATTAGCAACATCACCCTTTTGTTCAAAAAGCTCATCCAAAGTCATTCTAGGAACATGAGCTCGAACAACTTGGAAAACAAGCAAATACAACATTAGAGGAAACACAGAATAACTCGAGCATCGAAATGACAACGAAGACGGAAAATAGAAAATTTTCCTGGTACAACATATTCCATCAAAAATGCAAATTACCATCAAATACGTAAGACTGGATCTGCTCCTCGGGATTTTGTAATTCATAAAAGGCATCATCAGCATTTCCCCTGATTACTCGATATTGAATTGAGCAATGCATTTGAACGAAGACATTGTCCTATAGAATGAGAAACTCATCAATACTCTCCGTCTTACATCATATTATCAATTGTGACTACATATGTTTTGGAACAAAATATAGTCTAACAAACATATAGTCATCATCCAACAACTCTACGATTACTTTTCAAGCTGATGTGGATGGTAAAATTAGTTGAATTCTCAAAGGATCAGTAAAAATAAGCAGTGAGTCTATAAGCATATCTTAACATAAATAGGCAATAAGATGCAGGTAAACCACATAAAGTTACTATTCATTAACATTGTAAGGCTTGGAATCTGAGCATCCAATTGGAATTAAAAATGATTCTGTTCAGATTTGAATCATTACATTCCAGTACTGAAACCAAAATACATCCTTCCAAATATAGAATCAAAATAGGGCCAAATTCTTGATTACATTGCTTTAACTATAATAAACCACTCGTTGAACTGTGACTACGAGAACCAAAGCAGGCCGATAAACTGAATTGTTCTATCTTCTCAAATGTGTTTGGCTTCTCTTAAAATGTTGCTTCTATTTTAAACTTCAGAAGAAAAACTGTCTTCTCATAAATCATCTATCTCTTCGTTTTTAGGATTGGCCAAACATGTTTGTAGTGGATAACAGCTCTGGAATACTTACAACACTAATATTTTATACAAAATCTAGCAGCCCATAAAAGAATTTAATCATATAAAAATAAATTGTGAGCAAGGTGCAACTGTTCACAATTAATGGCCTCAAATTCGAAGTATAAATTTTTACTAGCAAAGAAGGAAGAGTTGATAAGAACTACGCCAAAATACTAGGTATAAGAGCATCTCCATTGTTTTTTGGATTGCACTAAAAAGGTTACCACATAAACTAAAGTGGGCAACGTCTACAAAAGTTTCTCTGCAATAGTACATGAACTATATCCAACTGACGTGGACGGAAAAAAATTAGACATTGCCAAAAAAAGTCTAGATATGGAGGCTCTTCTAGATGAAATGAGTCATTATAATTCAACATCTCACTCTTTTCTCAATCGTGCCCATATATTTTTCTCTATCCTATTAAATATACATTAGACATGAAATTTAAATTATAGACAGAACCCATCGAAGATAAAGCTTGACCTAGGCCATTCATTCGATAGACCATAATTGCCATGTAAATTGGAAGCCTTTCTATTTAGATGCCACATAGATTGCAATCAATGAATGCATTAGAATGCTCTAACATTAAAGAGTTTTTTTTTTTTTTTGTGCTAAAACAAACCATTGCAGAAAAAATAATATAAGGCCCCAGCACATGAATCAATACACCACTAAAAAGAAAATCAAGACCAAAATTTAAGTTTAGCATAAAAAATAGATGCAAAATTTAAAAAATTACAACACGTATGAGTAATATTGGAATAATAGCATCCTAGGCATCATTTTGATTATAGCATTTAGTCCAAATATAAACACACCTGACATCATATTTACACGGAATAAAACTCAGCTCCTTGTTTTGATTGTTATTATCCAATTACATATACACACAAAATTACGCATACACCCACAAACACACGTACACAGAATAATGAAAAACGAAAAGGAACCTTGGTTTTGGTCTCAATTTTGACATCAAGAGAGTTGATCCTAGTGGAGAGTATCCCGGCGAGGCATTCTCCGGCAAGCGGGTTGAAAAAGTGGAACCCCGGCTCCGCCAGCCTCTGGAACCGCCCCCACTTCTCCACCACCCCTACGCTTGCCTGATCAACGCACCCACAAAGCAAGCATGAAGTGTTCCCCATTTCTATTGACCTGCACAGATTCTATGATTCCACTGTATTGAATTTCTGAAAATGCAGATATGTAGAGAAATACCTACGCGGGTTTTTTGTGCCTGGGTCAAGGCCACGTAGGAGGACTTTTGAAGATTTTTAAACAATCTTTTAGGCGATGACTTTTAGAAATTTCGTTGGTTTTTTTATGGATTTGTACAAAATCAATATGGGCCGTTTGATTGTAAAACTGAAATTAAATTGAATTGAAAATAAATTCGATAAAATTGAATTGTTTAGAAATTATTTTCTTACGAATTATAAATTATTGTGTTTGATTGATATAATTTTTCATGTGAAAAATATAAAAATAAAAGTGTTTTTTTAATGTCGTTTGTCTTTATTTTATATGAAAATTATCAATTAAATAAATAAAATTTACTGGTATTGAAAATGAAATTTGTTTCCATTGTCAAAACCATACATATACATACATATATATATATATATATATATGGGGTGTTCTTTTGGTTTTGTTTTATATGAAAATTGTTAATTAAAGGAAAATATATTTTTACAATAATTCTTAGAATTTGTTTTCCATTGCAAAAATAATAATAATAATAAATAATAAATTGCTACAGGAAAATCAATTCCTAAACATGGAAAACCACACTTTCCGAGACAATCAAGAATTGGAATTCCATGGAAATAATTGTGCTACCAAACAACAACAAAATGGAAAAAATGGAATTGGAATTCAATTTTCATGTAATTCCATGCTATCAAACATTGTCTAAGCGTTTCGTAGTAGATTTCTATAGACTTTAATTTTAAAATTTTTATTAACTTTTTGTAGAATTTAAATTTTATTTTATTATTATTATTATTATTATTTTTTTTTTTTTGAAAACTTCATTTAAAATAGAATTCTCCTTTAGAACTTTTATAGAATTTTGTATTATTTTAACAAAAATGGAAATTGTCGCACAGGATTTGCCTACTGCAATTTATTTAGTTGGCGTAATTTGCAGGCTATTACATCAGTCCAAGAGTTTATTCAGTGAACACTCAAAGAGTAACGGCTGTGGGTTCTCTCGTCATAAAATAATAATAATAATAATAATAATAATAATAATAATAATAATAATAATAATAAGTTTAAAAGAATAAATATTTAACTTTATTCAATAAACAAAAATCAAATAATTTAATATACACACACATTATTCTTAATAAATAATTTAATATTCAATATTGTAAATATGACGTATCTTTAAAGAGCAAACAAAAAAATTATTTAAGTTTAATTAAAATTAGTCATTTTTATATAAAATCTTATAGTTTTAATTACAAATATACTTTTTCCATAAAAAATAGGGATAGAAAAATGAGAGAGAGAGAGAGAGAGAGAGAGAGTAGAAACAAATAAATCAATAGAAAAAATAATAATAATCACAACACTAATGTTCATAGAAGAAGAAAAAAAAACTCCCAAAATCTTGGGATGACATTATTACTCTACAGATTTTAAAAGTCATTAACAATTTAAATACTTTCAGATTTATAGATACTTCTAAAAAGTTTTGTTTTAATATATTGTGACTTTTAAAGACTTTTTAAAAGTTCAAAAAAATTCGATTATATACGTCAATACTTTTAGAGAGTATCAAAAATCTACATTGAATACTTCTAAATTCTTTAAATCCCAAAAAGTTTTAAAAAGTTGTATTTGCATACACCCCCTACATGTACAAGGAGATTGTATTGACAGCATAACTGGGAGACAGATGACAATCATTCATTAGACTTTAGACAAAAAATAATTTTTTATCGACTAATGCAGTGTTGTCACATGTCTTCCTATAATGCATCCATATAATCTCCATGTACAAGAAAATTAATTCATTTTAATTTGAGGTATTATATTTTATTTTGAGCTCATTCTTTAAAAACTCATTTTCAATCATACATGTTCTCAATATAATAATTTTTTCCTACTTTTTAATCACGCATCCTCTAAAAAAATCCCCATTATTAAATCTACTAACCCAAAAAATGAATTCAAACAAATCCTTAAAGAATTAAGGAGTGTTTATTATTTCTTTTCGCTGTTTCATAATAAATGTTTGATACATTAGCTCTTCTTAGTTAATAGAAGACTTCAATTAGTAAATTTTAAATAACTTTATATTTAAACAATAATGTTATTTATCCGTTCATGTGATAACATGTCGTTTATATGACAAGGAAATCACTTCTACATTTTTCAATAAATTAAAATGCATTATAATTTTATTGAAGCGTGCAAAATTTTCTTTGGATTCTATAGAAATTGGTCCTTGAGTGTAAAGATAGAATGGAGCTTGATTGCAAGACCCAACGATCGAGGATCGAAGTCAACTTTAATGATTCAACGGGCCAAGGACAACGTGGCAAGCCTTATTGCCACATACATGGTTGGTTTTGGCCAATGCTAATAAATAGCACAACTCCTTGAATTATTGTTTTTCCATTAACTAATATGATATGACAAATTCAATTGTCAAACATTTAGCCCCGTGTGGCTCTTATTATATCTCATCAAATTAAATTATATTTTTATCTCTCCTATTTTTAATCACACAATTTTCAATAAAATAATACGTAAATTGAAAACTTTTCATTCTTTTACAACCATTCATTTTATATATATATATATATATATTACGCTCATTATAATCTAAATTAATAGGGCCAAACGGGGGCTGAGTAAAGAAACAGTCAAAAAATAGTTAAATGGAATAATAAATCTCAACTTGGAGTTAAGATGCAATGTGAGTAGAGAAAAATGAAAGAGAGAACGTCGTGTTTAAAATTTTGCTTATTTAGTTAGTTGTCCAACATAAAATTTTAAGCTAGTGCTAAACGTATGAATTAATCTAGTTATTAATATAAAAAATAGTGTAACAATCTCAACTGACATGCCAATTAACATAACTAAAGGCGCCCCCCGGGGCACTTCTCCACTGGCAAAGGACGGGCTCTGTGAAACCTGGCAGATCAGAGGTCGTGAGTTCGATTCATGGGGTTCTTGGAAGGCAAGGATTTATTCTTGGAAGGCAAGGTGCAACTTGGATTGACTTGCTTGGCACTTTGGCAGATCAGGTGGGGAGGGCTCGGACCCTGGTTAGTTGGAGGCACATCCCGCGATTAACTGGACTGTGTGAAGAGGGGCCGGATCACAAACCCAAGGATTAGTCAAAAATTGGACACCTTGTAAACAAAACATAACTAAAGGCCTATAGGGCCAGATGTGTACGGGATCATTTTTATTTT